GCTTAAATTACTTGTGGGAAAAAAAAAGAAGTATGGTAAATAATTGCCAAATAGCCTTCTCTAGGTAATGTTGGAAGACTGATTAAAGGAGAAAATTACCGTATATGCAGATTGTGTTAAAAACATTACTTTGCAGCAAATGAATTACTACATTGATTAGATGTGCCCCAGACTTTCCAGTTCACACGTCTCAAGACTTCTCAAAATAGCACAATTGATCACAGAGTGCTGTTGTATGTTGAGTCAGAATAAAGCAATATTTAAACCTCTGTCAAGTAAATTTGAAAAAGAAATGCTGAAAGTGTATGTCATTTATTTTATCCCCAGTTAAGGCATTAAAAAAATTCCAATTCACAAGTCTTATTCAGCAAGTCTTATTTGGGAGTTTTTGTTTGTTTTAAGACAAAGTGGATGAAACTGTCTTGTTTACAGAACTTTCTATGGCTGTAATCTTTGCTGTGTGTTTTCAATAAAAATACATTTGAGGGCAAACTGCTTTATGCCCCAGGATGGAGCATACCTTGTTCTGACTCCCTTCTTCAAAGCTCTGTGCAGTGAGCTTAGATTTTGAGGTGGGATCACTGTGAGGAGTGCTCTTTCATTACATGTTCCTACAGCGCATTGTGGCTGGGCACACCCTTACTGTTCATGGGCTGAGCTGACTGTGGGAAATAAACTCTCTAAAAAGCAAGATATTACAGGTGGAGCTGAGCTACACTTTTGTGTACACCTGACTTCTGTATGGGTGCTGTTTACATGCTGCCAGCTCAGGTCATGAACCAAGTGAGCTTGCAACAGCCCATACTAAGCCCCCGCCCTGGCCACACCCGTGACATAGAAAACTGCTTGTCTATGAAGCTCTGACTCTGCAATTTGTGAATTGTATTGAAAGACAATCTCTTGGCTGTAAAGTGCAAGACACTGGCCTAAACTGATGTTTCAAATCGAAATCTTTCCAATCCAGATATAAGGTCCACTTGCCCCCAAATCCTACCAAATGGCAAATTCACCTTGGGAAATGTATTGGAAACACACGGCAAGATTTCTGTTGAAGAAAGAGCTATATCATGAGCAATGGCTTTATTGAGAGAATATGTTTACTTAACACCCCCCCAAAGACCCAGAAACAGTTGAAGAGCGATGTATTTAAGACATTTAAGTGTTTGATTGATTGAATCACAGATGAAGATCTGAACTGGTGAGGAATCTTCATTTTCTGTTAGAGATGTGATCTTGTATTCAGCAAAGGATGTGTGACTGTTACATGTTAACTGTTCTATTCAGTTTTCAGCATGTTTGAATAGAGAGATGTTAACCACATGACAGACTAGTGTATTATTTGTTAAGACTATCACTTCAGAGCCTGTTGAAAATGTCATTGTTTACAGAGGAAAAGGAAAAGGTTTTAAAACATCAAAATAGGTAGCCTTAATGTGATTTGTCTCTTTCTGTAATACAACTGCTTCACCCTGTGGAATATCCTATTCGACAGTGAATGGAACAGTGTTTTCTCTGAGGTCTGGCAATTTAAATTTGTCAAAGGCATGAAAGATTTCATAAAGTTGTACTTTAATGGAAGTTTAGATGAAATAGTAGGCCAAATTTTGCTGTACATATGAACCATATGGTCCCATTGAACTCAGTGGACCAGAAGGAATGCAAGTCAGTGTAGAATCTAGCTCAGTCTTAAGATTACATCTCTGCCTAGCTTTGAAAACAACCTGTAATTCCCTTAAAAAAAAAAAAAACTCTGAATTCAGTACTTGTCACATAATTAAAACATATATATGACTTATGAAGTTTGAGTGTAGTCTGGTTGAATATTCATGCAGTGTTACACTCAAGAAAACGAGGAGAATAGTTAATTGAATATAATTAAACTGATCAGAAAAAGCCTACATCTCTTCAGCTTAATGTTAATTTTGTGGAAATTATGAAATACAGATGTTGTGTATCCTGACTTTTTTTCTTTTTTTTCTTTCTCTTTTTTTTTTCTTTTTTTTTTTTTGCTTCTAAATATATATTTTTTTAAGTCTCAAAAGTTCCCAAAGTATTGGTTAGCAGAATGATCCCAACATTGGAAGTAGGAAATGTGGGTAAGTATGGGTGCATTCAGCAACACTAACCATAGAAAAACCCTTTGGTACAACCATGAGCTAAAGCTGAAATGCTATAATTCTTGAAAAAACACATTTAGCTCAATAAACTAGTTCCTGAGGATTGTGCTGTTCAGAGTGCTTTTGGAATTTAGCCTAGCCCAACTCTTTGCTGATGTAGTCAATGGACTAATAATAACTTTTAATGGAGGATCATGTCCCCAATCTCTTCTACTCAACGTGCAAGACAAAATCAGAAATGTTAATAGCTTACTGCATGATGTAAGGGTTTCAACATTGTTTTATAGAGCTATCTTTGCTTTTTAGTTTTGTTTGTTTATGAAAATCATATCCATGTGCAAGCATCCTCAGTAGAATATAGTTCAAGGTTTGTCAGGGCTATCCTCTTAGAAGGGCTGAATCGTATTGATTGAGATCTAATCCAAATTAAACATGTGGCTAGTTCTGCTGTTAGTCATCAAAATGCTATGAAGCCTCTGGTTTAAATGGTGAAGCTAATGGGAGTATGGCATGTGCTTATGATGAGGCATGTACTACAATTATTCCTGAAGCCAAATGTTCAGTCAGGTAACCCATGTCTACTTCTAATGGAGGTGGAAAGATCATTTGGTTTCCTCTTCCCCATTCATCCACAACTTCCTTCAATTTCATTTTAGACATTGATTGACCTTTTAGAAGAAATTATGACAATTAATACAAAAAAAAATGGGCTCTTTCAAAGCCCTAGCTCCAGTAAATAAAATTAAGCTTGTAGGAACAGACATGAAATAAAAGCTGCTTTAGAAATTGGCATATATGCGAATTGCCTTTCAGTAAAACACATTTTTTCTTATAAACTGTTTTTTCCTTTGGGCAAACAATGAGCTGATAAAAACTGACCTTTACTCTGTTACTTTCAGTTTTATTATCTTGGCATGAATTTAAAATGTTCAATTTCAGAATATAGAAGAAAGTAACTTGAAGCACTTCATCTTTAAGCAGTGTGGAGGGGAAAAAAAAACCTACAAATGTTCCATATATATTTTTGAGCTTGTGTGCTTTTTTTAAAATTTCATTTTAGTAACCTGACAGGTCTATGATAACAGGTCTCATATATTTTTTAAGGGCTATTTCTTTTGCCTGACTTGGCCCAGATGCCTGGCCGTTAGATCAAATTTTTTAAGACAAAAAAGCTCATAGAATATTAAGGTAGTTCCTTATCCTATACTCTTGCTGAGAGCATAATTGATCCTAACTTTATTTTGATGACTACCCACATGAAAATAATTGGTGCCCTTAGTTTTGAGGTTTTGGATTTGATGCTCTCAAATCACCAGATCAAACAAGATTTTTTTTTTCTTTTTTAACTAGCAGAGTTCATCAAAAGAGGTAAATGAAGTAACTGTAACAGTAGTAAACTACTTAATATGATAATGATGCTCATTCTGATTATAATTATTGGATTGGGCCATAGAGAATGATAGTTACATCTAAGTTATGAAAGAATGTAAGTTACATGTAAGAAATACAGTCACAAAACTAATGGAAGTGGGAAGCACTTCCATTGCTTCCTATTTTAGGCTAGAATTGTGGAAATCACCAGCAGATGAGGAAACAATCATGCAGTGTGGATGTGGCAGAATGTAAACCTGCTTTCACTTTAAAAGTACACAAAAATATGTTGTGTGTGTTTTGAAATTACCAAAAACTTGAAACCATTTATTAATGACTGAACTTATTAATGACTGAGTAATATTTAAGAAAACAAAAAGGGGCAGAAATTCCCAAATTCTTGATTCTTCTATTGTGAATTGGAACAAAGGTAATTATGTATGTTTTGATTCTTTATTCCTACATCACCATTTCTAATGTCCACAATAGGGACAGCATGATAACACTACACTGATGGGCTGCGCTCTTGACACT